CCCCAAAACCCCAAAACCCCTTAAGAACGAATTAGCATTAGTTTGTTGATATTTTAAATAAATTTAAACAAATAAAGGTAAAGTGAAATGGAATAAGGCTTTACATAAAAAATGCAAGAGCTTCAAGTCCCTGTCAATGAAAACTTCCTAAATAAGCAGAGGATCATCATGACATAAAATCTATCAGCTAGAGGAGTCAAATCTTCTCTATAGAGCTTAAGATAAACTACAGATGAAAAAATAGAGCCAGCTCATAAAGTCTCTGCCTATCTCCTGAAATAAAGTCTGAATAAATAAATGTCTGGCAAAAAGCCTAAAAGGTAATTTATATTCAAAATAATTTAAATACTATTGTAGAGATTTGCTAAATTATATAGCTTAAAGTTTATAGTAATCAGAGGAAAAGGAACTATAGCAGAATTTGAACTTATTAAATACATACAACAACAGCAACTAGAACTCAAATCTAAATATTAAATCGCCCTTTGTTCATGATAAAATTTACTCTCAGCGATCATATCAAAGGATAAGTTCCACCAGTCACCAAACGAAAAGGAAAAATAGTCAGCCACTCTTGTTTCACAAACTAGCAGTTAGTCCAAATTAAGATTAAGAATATTATGAAAATGGCAGTGGAGCTGTAAGCGGAAGTATTTGGTAGCAGGGCAAAGATGAAAATGCTGGCTTTAAAACTTAAAGGTAGCATTTGGATGTCAGAAATATTTAGATCGATCAGGTAAAGAGGGATTTGTAGAGAAATTTGTTTTAAGGGAGTATTGATGACATTAAATATAAACTTGGAGTGTCTGATTGCTTTAAATGCGGCTAGCTAACAATGATATTAAAGAAGACATTGAAAATCATTAACTAATTCTATCCAGATTGCCATAATAATCCAACTAGGACAAAGATTGAGAAAATCTTCAACTAAGGAATGAAAGCTCTATAGGGTTATACAATAGATTCCGATGAGGAGGATTTGAAGCAAAAAGAAAAGCTAAAGAAAAATGGTGACAATAGTCCTTAAAGAAGAAGTTAGCTTATAAAGCAGCTATAAAGTGAAGTAGAGATACTCAAAAGAGAAAAGATTGAAATAGAAGCATTGAAAGTTAAGAGTTAACTCAAGTACCAGTAGCTTTAGAAGAAATTTGAGACTTACAGAAATGAAATAGAAAGGGAATTCTAATTTACAAAGAAGCATGCTTTCAATCAGCATAATTCTGAAGATAGAAGGGATAATCAAGCGAATTACAATAGTAATAACAGATAGTTAGATAACTCATATAAGAAAAAAGCTGGCTCAAAGTTAGTATCACCAGTAAGAATGAATGCAGTACAACAGAATTATGATAAGAATTCTAGTTACACTCTTATCAATACACTCCTAAATGAAATGATGTATACTTTTGACTAAGATAAGGTATATTAAAATATGGCAACAAGATTCGAGAAGCTTCTAACTAGTGACTTAGTAGTATTGATAAAGATCGTTGACAATGAAAGATTAGAATGGGTGAGCACCAATAATAAAAAGAAAAGGAGTTTAGTTGGGAAGCTAGGAATCAAAGATAAACTTATTTATGAATGCATGTCTGAGAAAGAGAGTTTTGTCATTAATGAGCCTGAAAAGGACATGCTCTATCACCCTAAGATAACTAAGATATTTTAGGTATCCCCACAAGCTTACAATGTCTTAGCACAGCCTATTCCTTCACATGAATAGTAAAATACTAATTATTAAACTTGACTTTAGAGGATATATAGGTGGGATATTATTAGCCTTCAATAAAAAGAACTTTACTAATACAAGCCTTGATCATCAATTCATTGAATTCACAATGGACGATAAACGACTTGCTAAGTTATGTGCTAATATGGCAGCTATTTACATGTCAAAGATCAACACTTATGAGGTGTCTATTTCTGAGAAGAATTCAGTCAATTTTTATCTCAGCTTTGTGGACTAAATACTCAGACATGTATCAAATTCAATCTTTATAATTATAGCCAAATTCATATATGTTTTAAGAAAGTGTTAAGAAGGCGACATCTTAACTATTCAACTGTGAGAGAGCTAACTTCCTATTTTGTGATTTTGAAAAGGGTGAGCTATACAAAAACTATTTGGACGATAAGAACTAAGAACATGTTGAAACATTCAGCATTCAGAAAGGTCTTGCTGGCTACGTAGCAAATAGCATGACTCCTCTTATCTCAAATCAAATTGAAGATGATACTAGATTTCTTTCAACAATAGATGATCCAAGTTAAGATTTCAATTTGAATACCAAAAGCATTTTATCAGTTCCTATATTTACTAGTGATGAAGCCAAGCGAATAGACTCACTTGAGGTCTAATGCCCAAGAGCAATACTGTAACTCATTAATAAAGCAAACGATAAAAAGTTTATTGATGATGACGCCTCTCAAGTATAGCTATGGGCTTACATAGTAGGTCGAGCGCATTAGCTGATAAAGTAGTTAGAGGAGTTCAACTCATTCAAGAGTAATTTTGGATTGATGTTCGATGCCACCAATAGGGCAATGATGAGTATTGATGCAAACACTGCTTAAATGAATCAGGTCTTGCAAACATTCCTAGGCTTGAATAATACCATAGCTGCTTCGATGCTGAATAGAGATACTAGAATATTGCAAGAGGACCTTTAATGAAAAATTTAATATAAATTAACTAAATGTTAATAGGAGAAAATCATCATAACTGTTATAATTATTTACTTTTAGGCTTGTTAATTTCATTAATTCTTGGATTGAGAAATTTATATTGTCTGAAGTCTTACTCTCATTTAACAGGTGGATTCATGATAATATTTCCATAGTTATTGGGATTAAAGCTTTAAGAGGTGTTCTTGAAGGGTGTCTCCATAAGTACCTGCTGCTTCTTTTCCATAATTTCCAAATCAGGGGACAGGTTATATAGAGTTCTGTCGAAACTAGACTTTTCCTCCTGTATCCTAACTTCTTCATCTTTATCTTTCTACAATGCTCTTTTCTTATTATTGAAAAGAGGAGTAGATATTTTCTGTTTGCCCATCGCTCCACCGAGACTCTTGCTCAGGTACTTCTCGAATTTAAGTCCGTTGTACTTCGGCGTCGCAAATGAGGCTCTTCCGTTACTTAAGACATTAAAGCTCTAGTCCAAAACAAAAGTGGTGTTCGCCAGTTTTGGCGTTTAATTGTTCTTGTTCTAATACCACATATCGTATTTGAACCTGGGAGCCATCGATCTGTAAAATGAGTCCTTTACACTTATGTTTTAGTTGCTCAGCTAGTCTATGATATTCTCAAAATTTACCAATCGCTTCAAGTTGCTTTTCATTTCTACCTTATCTCCCAAGAGTCCCAAATCTGCTGCTCTCTACTTTTTTAGGTTTTTATTTGACCTTTCAATGTCTATGCTTAAATCCAATATTCTAGAGTTTAGATTCACCTTAATACTGTTTTTGTTGCTATTATTTCCATATCGATTTGATCTCTGGATTTCTTCGACATCTCTTTATTATCTCTAGGTGTTTCTTATCTTCTTGGTCTAAACAAAGCAGCTTAGAAAATCAGGCTTCTTATACTTGACATACATCTTTTCCTATAGATAAATTACAATGAACTTCAATGAACATACTGGGGAAATTGAGGGAAGGAGTAGCGGGTTGATGTAGCTTTGATTGTGACTGCCATTATTTTTGTTCCTATCCATGGTAGATCTAATATGCTGCCGTATGTTAATCGTGGATGATCTCAACTTCTTCAGTTCCTCATCCAGCCTCTCACTCTCTTCTAGCTAAATTTTTTTCATTAAATTCACTTTATTATAAATTCATTAAAATTCTAAAGTAAGACTTCTGGGGTTTTGGGGTTTTGGGGTTTTGGGG